ATTTAAAAGAAGGATAGATGAGGTGCTTAGGGACATGGTTTAGTGGTGGGATGGCAGGGTTAGGTTAAAGATTGGACTCGATGATCTTAAAGGTCTTTTCCAACCAAAGCGATTCTATGATTCTATGATTCTATGATTCTATGATTCTATGAACTCTATAGCTTTTGCTTATCCTCCCTGTTGTTTTTTCCTGCTAATGGGGCTGTCAGCCTTGGGGCATGTATTGATCGGGGCAGATGCCCCTCTCCCCCCCCGCCCCTGTTTAGTTGCTCTGCTTTGGGCAGGCCTAGTAGAGGGTCCCTAAACCTGAAACTACAAACGGTTAGCTGTGCTAGCTGTGCTCCCTCCCAGCTTGTTATGCACCTGGCCGAGCAGGAGAAGCTCAAAAAGTCCTTGAGTAGTCTGAGCACTACTTGGCAACAGCTGAAAACATCAGTGTGTTATCAACATTCTTCTGGTACTAAATCCAAAACACAGCACTATGCTAGCTACTGTGAAGAAAATTAACTCTATCCCAGCCAAAACCAGGACACACAGGTAGGAAAAGGCGGGGAGGGTGTTGGGTGGGGAAGGGCTCATTCTCACACCGGTGGCCAGGACAACCTGCTGTAACCACCCTACCGGGGTTTGCCGCTGCAAGACCATGACAGTAACGTCATGAAAGCAACAGCACAAGAACAACATGGGAAAAATACTGCCGTCACCGCTTAGGTGAAGGGTTACAGAGCCCCAAGCAAAAGGCAGGCTACATAAGGCAAGCAGAAGGTCTTTAGCAACAGAAAGGCTAAGGCCTATAGGGCATTTTGCAAGTGTTTTATAAATGCCAGGAAAATAACCCTAATTACAATCTTGTGATACAAGTAACTCCCCGTCCTATTTGATAAATAAGAAGATAAAAGTAGAAAGGTCAAGAGACACTAAGGCCACAGACAGGTGATGTGAGAGACAGGGTCAGAACTCAGGTAAGGCTCAGAAGCACTTTTCAAAACCAGCATTCATTTCTTTCAAGGACCTGATAAACCTTAGAGAATTAATACAATTTGTAAATCAAATGCTAGCTTTTGAGAGTTAGGATGCTGCAAGAGGTTAAGTGCTGCATCCTCACTGCTCAGTATCAATGTCAATGTAGCCTTTCCTGAGACCAAGAACCTCCTGCGCACTCCAGGTCACAGCATTAATGAATCCTGGCATGTGATTGCTATAACTTCTGCATGCAGTCACCTATGACACCAGCACATGGGCTGCAAAAGGAGTATCAACTCCTAGTAGCTACTGAAACTTCTACGCCACGTTTTTAGCAGTTTCTGAAAAACAAGGGCAGGCTACTTCCTCACCCAGAACTATAAAGGCACCTGCCACTAGAGGATCCTCAACTCCAAAAATCCTATGCCCTGGAAGTTTAGTAAGATCTACTTGAGTCAACTTTCCCATAAAACCTCTTTGGTGTCAAGCTGGACTAAATGCACTAAGTCATGGTAGAGAGCATACAGCCGAGAGAACTGATGTTCTAGGTATCATCTTAAACGTTGTTTCATGGTTGCAGAATATATGGAGAATTGGGACCTCTTGATACAGGAATATGTCACTAGATTCATGAAAACTCAGAGAACAGTGAAATAATCTGGAGAAATTAACTTCTCAGAAGAAATAAAACTAAGTCAGCTGGAAAATACAATTGCTGCATTCAAGAGTGCAAAATCCACAGAAGGACTAATGGTCAGGGTATGTTTTTCATTGGCTTCAGTGGACAGGGTGCATACAGATTCAGTCAGGAAAGGAAGATTCAGGCTATTTAGTAAAGTATATTACTAAAAAGTGCTATGGGATTATTTGGGAGATGCAGCAGGGAAAGGAAGGACACTGAAGTCTCTTTCTGGTTCTGCCCCGACGTTCTACATGATTAGGGCACAACATTGATACCCACCATGTTTGTAAAGCTGAACTGCTGCTAACTACTGAGGGGGCTGCAGAAGTACAGAATGGTCTGCTGAGGACAGAACACCTTTGTATTTATGAAAAGCTTAAAATCAGACTGTAGCTCACCAAAAGGTCACTTCTACTGACCATTGGAACACCTCTGTCGCTGTGTCTAGACATAGCAGCTGATGTTACTGTACTTTCTGTGACAGCTGTTATTCTTAGCAGAGCTTTACAATGCTAAGGTTAAAATTAAAAACCAATGACTTAAAAGACTGAAATAAACTTGGGGTCTGTGTGGAGGGAGAAGCGCAGACCTCTCGCACACTCCCAAGTTATCAACAAATGGAAAGCTGAATTTTCACTTACCAGTAGATTCTCTGGCTTGATATCCCTGTGGACAATGTTCAGGCTGTGAAGATACTTGATGGCGCTGGCCAGATTGTAGAGCATCCCACTGGCATCCCGCTCTGTATATTTGTTGGTGGAAGTAATAGCATCAAAAAGATCTCCTCCCTGGAGCAAAATGACCATGGCATATGAGCAACACTGCTTGTGAAATGAATGAAAAATTTAGGGAAGATCAAGGAGAACCGTTCATAGAGGAGGAGGAGGGAGGAGGAGCAGTACAGTTTCCTTGCAGCTATAAACTTTGGGTACTGTGATGACACCCCCCTTAATGGCAGCTGAACATACCAGTAATTCAGAACCATTTGTCATGGTTTGTTTGGTCGGCCAAGAGGCCGGAGTCTCCACTGCAAACCGTTCCCACCTGCTGCTGCTTTTGTAACACGTCCAGCACTTGCCAACCTGTGTGTTCAGAGACCCTGTTGCAAATTTCTGGCATGCCTACGTACTTGCCTGTCGCAATGCCAGGTACCAACCCTTGCCACTCTTATAATCGCAAACAGGCTGACATCAAACTTTTGCCCAAAGTCTAATTGACCTCCAGAAAAATGAATAAATTATGAGTAAAACTCAAACCAGCTACCTGTCATCACTTCTAGAGTTATTTAAAAGTCTCATAAAACTTTGAAAACAGGGATTTTAGAAACCACTTTCTCTACACAAGTTGTAAAGTTTTTGGTAGCGTGATGCTCTTCTTGCAGCTAATACCGAAGAACTTCCCAGCATCTATGTCAGATAATCATACTGGAAGACACTTAATTCTTAACATTAGTATTTCACCACAGCTACAAACACAGATGGCAGCTTGTCCCATTTCCAGCTCATCGTGCTGTCTAATTCAGCTAAAAGCTAGTGCCAGTGAAAGAAAAACAAGAAAAGAAGAGAGAAAGAAAGAAAGAAAGAAGTAAATAAGGGAAATTAAGTGGAAGTCCCTGAAGTTTCACTGGTCTTCACCAGGATCTGAGGCAGCCATGACATTTGGACTGTATTTCCAGAGCTGAGCTGGCAAGTGGGAAGAAGAACGTGTAAGTGATTGGAGAAACACCAAAAAATAAGTTTAAAGAAGAGATTAAGGAGGAAGCTTGGCAGAGTGGAGGAAAAAACAAACATCTTTTGAGAGATACTACTCAGAGGTATTGGGTCTTCAGCCAAAATCAAAGCAGCACCATAAAGGAAACACAGACCAACAGAACAAAAAAAGAGGAGGGAAGCGATAATTCTGCAAACACAATGCAAAAAATCCCTGCTGCAGACAAAACATCAAGGAAAAAAAAAATCACAGGAGACGGTAAAGAAAAAGTAGGTATTTTCTGAAGGCAACAGAAGAGTTCCAGCTTTGCCAACTCTCATGATTTTATCAACAGCCTCAAGTTATTTGGTTGTTTTCTTAAGGCTCAGCTCCAGAGTAAACAGTGTTTTCACTAAGAGAAAGGAGGAGGGGGAAGAATCAAAAAGAAGATTTTTTCCAGGAATCATGGCTAACGAGAAGGAGGTAGGAAAAGACAATCACCAAAGACTCAAACCTGAGAAAACAGACATTACTTGTTAAAAAACCCCAAACAAACTATTGAAAACTTTGCATTGCTGAGGTGCAGCTGAAGTCTGCCAGGGCAGGTTTATTCCCATCGTAGATGCAAAATCCCAGCTTTGGAAACCGCTTGCAGCTGACCAGTGTCAAACTCGGACCACATCAAAACCTCTTGCTCTTGCTGGTGACTGATCAAGACACAAGATACACAGTGTCAAGGAAAAGGAGGAGGAAAAGGCCAAACTACACCAGATAGAGGATTAGAGAGAAAGGCCAAATCTTTGGCAAAAGTACAATACTATGTACTTCATGGCATTAACTGATCCCTACATATTAGATACCGGCATGTGGCAAAATATGTGGGATAAACAATCTGTCTTCCCTAAGCTCCTTCCTCCAAAGCCCCTGTACCAGCGGCTTTTTAACATGAGGTAGTGGATTAGACAGATCTTTGGTCTTATCTAATATGTTCCAGATGCTCAGGAGAAGTGTCAATAACATCAGCAAAGGATCTGCCTCCAAACAAAGAAAACAGCCCAAGCTGAGATGTGAGGAGCGAGGAGGAAAGAAGATGAATCTTTAAAAAGAGAAGGCAAAATTTTGGCCTAAAGTCAGCAGAAAAAGGAACAAACATTCATGCGCAAGAAAAACCTAAACTCAGAAAAATACAGAGGCTGCCCAGCACATTAACAGATGGTCAAGCCAATCTGAAGCAGAATAATTTTCTCCAGTTAAGCAGCCTACGGTACTCGGTACAGTTCCTTACCAGGTAGCCTGGTAAGAAAAGAGAACATATACTTAGTCCATGGGATTCTCTGCAGTTAAAAGAGAGGCGATACCCTGCAAAGAGTTAACAGAGCTGACAGCTATATCAGCCAGAATTGTTTTCAGACTTCCCTTTCCCTGAAGAGCACTTTAACCTGCAAGGTTCTGCTTAGCCGATTCACACAGCAGGTCACTATCATTTATTCAGGCACAAGGGGTGAGCTCAGGATGACATTTCAGTCTTAAATCCCCCGTTCTGGAGTGAAATGGGACCAGTAACATCTGAATGCAGTTTTTATTATCTGTGCACATGAGGAAGTATACTTGGAAGTACAGTAACCAATTATTTATTTATTACCTTGTTATGTAAATGATATAATCTCTCTTTTCTTCTACAAAAGTGAAATCATATCCTGGAGCAGTAAAGGAAACTCTGCAATAAATCTTGCTTGTTAAATTGGCCAAACCCCTGTTAGGTTTGAATAACAATTTTGTTTCGCTGTGTTAAAAGGCAACGTGCCAGAAACCAGGTCCTTGCTTCCTTTTACAAGCACCACTTGCAATGTGTTTATATTTGTATTTATGAAGTGCTTTTTCTTACACTTTACAAAGCAATGAATGGCCTATCTGCCATGAGGTGAGGGCAGTATTTGCAGCAGCCACTTATGTCAAACATGTTCCTGCCAATTAATGCAGGGTGGTATTAACTGAAACCGTGCTCTGCAGTATCAAGCCTTTTCTCCTTGAATTTCTTTCCTGTCTGTGAATTTGATTTAAAGTCAGGTATTCAAAAGTCAGTCAATAACAGATGGTTAATCAATTCTAGCGGTGCACGCTATGAAATGGTAACAGTCAGCAATTGGTGAATTAACAATTAACATCTTTCCAGAAATACCTTCCCTGGTGCCCATAGAGTATAACATGGCTTTTTTTTCAATTAAATAGTATTGAATAGATGGGGTTTTTTTCAAAGAAACAAAGTTAACTTCCCAGGATCAGGATATTTCTCTAAATTTCTTCTATTATTCCACATAAAAGTAAAAAACATTGAAACAGTGCTCTCTAGGATATCTGAACTGCAGAGATGTCTATAAAGCCCTTCTAAGGCATAACTGAAAGCATAAATATCTTAGTATGTGCAGCAATCCTGAAGAGTAAAGAAGAAAGAGTGCAAGAAACCAGATTTTTCCAGAAGGTGAATATAATGGATGGTTTTCTTTATATACATTTTTTAGGCTTGCTATTTTGTAAGAGTTGTCGGTCCCCTCCTCTCTTATTTAGCTGAGTAGGACTACAGTTTGAACATTTTTCAAGCATGAATAGCACAGCAGGTTGCACCCATAAAACCAGCTATGTGCTTACATCTTGGCATGTTAGACAAGGCACAGCTTTTACTTCTTAGCACACCTCATGGGGCCAAGATGAAGAATTTGTCAATGCAGGCTGAAACTGTGGCTACATTAGATTACAACACTGTGCAAGAATATTGAGGTACCTTTGAACAAGCTCTCACGGACACTGGGAAAAACCTACAGTAGCATGGATCTCAGAGCGAGCTCACTTACAGAAAAGAGCAGTAATTATGATTAAAATAGTGTTAGATGGCTAATGCCATTTGATCTGAAGCTGTGCTATTTCACATTGCACTCCTGAGTGCGAGAGGGGGCTGTGACTATGAAGAAGGTGGGGAAATTCTTCTGGGACTGGTTACACAGAGGGATTCATGCCATGGAAGAGTGCCAACATTTTGCTTGTTTCTTAGGATTTAACCTCTCCATCAGAGATGCAATGGCGAAGCTGGGTGCCCTGTCAGCTCCTTGCCACCAGCATGTCCCAGTGGGCTTCCTCAGAGCTTGGAGGTGGTGGGTGGTAGGGCTGGTGGGACCATAAGCTCCATAGCACCACTCAAGCCAAGTGGGGCACCTGGCAGGCTCAAACGTAAGAGGACAATGTTGCCAATCTCCTAAAATGTGGGGCATGACCTGTGCTTCTCATGGATAACAAGGTTGTCCCAGCCTGCCACAAGGACAGGGAAAACCTGTGGCCACTCACCCATGGGCCACACTTGACAGCCTCCCAGCTCTGCACTGGGAACACGGCTTGTGTCACCGCTGCTGCCACAGAGCACAGGGGATAATGGAACAACCCAAAAAACTTTTCATTTGTCCTGCTCTTATATTCCAGCCCAGAGAGTGAGAAGTTCTTTAAGAAACACTTGGACCTGGGATCATCCTATCTAACATCTCGATGAGATGCCTACATTAAGAGCATCCCCTAATCTCCACCTACAGCTAAAGAAAAGCAGACAACAGTCCTGCTTGCCAGAATTACTTTCTCTCATGACCTCTGGTGGTGCCCGTTTCTAACCACGGATACAGAGGATGTCTACCCAAAGTGACCACATTTTTAATTTAAAGTAAGTGGGAGTGATCTGATTGCCAGGGTTCAGACTGCCTGATTTGCTCACAAGTATTGAGCGTGCAGATACAACAGATAGAACAGGCCTGCGCACGAATGCTGCTGCTGCACAGCTTTATTGTAATCTTTGTCCTTAGCACTTAAAACTATGGATTTCCCAGGTGGAGGCATGATAGGCTGCCCCAGGGGAACGTGCTGATGGAGGTACAGAAATGGAGGTGGCTGCTAGAAAGATCTCCTTCCTACAGAATAGTTGAAGGAAGGAGAATCGTTAATCCCGTTAGTGAATGTGAAAACCAGGTGTATTCTGTTCAAGTAAGTATGGAGGGCAAGACGTCCTCAGTGGTTTTCTGTCCTAATTTGTACAATTTACACAAATGTATTTTTACCGCCTTTTATGCAGGGTGACATGCTTGTGTATTAGTACCAGAACTGAGAGCTAAATCCATACTTCTTGCACTGCACTGTTGACAGTATGGGGGCAAGGGATGACCTGGTCTGAGTTTCCTAATTCAGTTTGAATATGTAATTCCACCAGCGAGTGAAATAAATGCATGAGATCTGGAAGTTAATAAATAGGGTCCCAAATATAAAATACTGCATTTGCAAACTTACTTTTCAGAATAGAACCATGCTTTAAATAGCAGGTTTTTCTCCTTCACTTCCCCCCTCCTCCAGCTTAAACCTAGATTATGATCAAGGAGGCAAGCCTGACAGCATGTTAATATAAATCAGTAGGCAAAAAAGACAGGTAATATTGTTTAAATTTAACATAAATTAATAAAATTTAATTAAACTATTTTATCAAAGAGCATTGAATTTTGAAGGCTGGTATTTACAGCTATTCAGACTGGATGTATTTTCAGTTCACCTCAAGGCAGATGCATTTCTCTAAGATAAAACTTTTTAAAGAGACTTCTTTTGGGGGATCAAATGATCTCCAAAGTACTGTCCACAGAGCACTTCTGAGTGTGGCTTACAGAAAGTTAGACAAATATTTGAAAGCTATAAAAATTCTGACAGTGGGTTACACATCTTTCAGCAGGGTTCTGGACCTTCAGAGACCCCTTCCATTCTAAATTATTCTGGATTCCATGATTGTTAGTGAGCTTTAGTACCAATGAAATTTCTCAATATGGTTGAAACAATTCTTAATAAGCAGCTTGTCTCCACAATACTCACCTTTACAAGTTCCATGACAAGGTACAACTCAGTTGGCATGTCCATCTCCTCAATCAGAAGTACAATATTGGGATGCTTGACTCGTCTTAAAATAGATACCTCGTTCTGGATCATGTGTTCCTGCCACACAAAAGAAATCTTTCATGACTATGGGTTGGTGGGAAAAACTTCCACCTCCTTTGTACAGTGGAAAATGCAGAGGGAATTGGGACCTAGGATTCTTCAGGGTTTTTTAAAAAGGTAACAGACTTTGCCTCCAGCAATATGGAAGGAACACATCTAGAAACAACATCAGTGTGATAACTGAAAGAAGAACAGAGTAGAACATAGAGAAAGAAATGGATGTTTGTGATGCAGACAAAAGTTAAATACAGAAGCTTCTAAAACTTTTTCTCCAATGCAGAATCTGTCAATTTAAAAATATGGTAGCATCTTCTCTGAGAACCTTTTGTTACAGATTTCAAAAACTAACAGAAATGCACTTACTATAAAACTGACATAAACTTGATCAACCTTGCATATTGTTCAGACACAGTGACTGATGTTATCATTATTAGCATTATTTTTCTGTTTTTTATAACATCTGGGACTATGAAACCACCAGAAGATAATGACAGGGGTGAAGAACAAGGGGAACGAGTGTACCCACCCACAACCAACCAACTGGAGAATCAACACATACATCTAGAAAGACACATTGCAGCCTTTTATACTGATACTCCAAGGGTCTCCAGAGGGCAGGCAAAGGCTTCAGCCTAAATGATTCTAACACTTGCCAGGAAGAAGAAAAATACCAACAGTTTCCCAAACTGCTCTCTCACAAAATGTTTCTTGGGGAAAAAAAAAATCTTTTGGTCTCATTTGATTTTTTTTGTACTTACTTTTCCTCTACATTTACTTTTTTTGATTATTTTCAGAGCATATTCTCTACCAGTTGATCTGAGGAAAGAGAAAAGAAAAAAATGTATGTTCAATCACATTGAATATTTTTCTCAGTCAAGTTTATATTTGTCATTTGAGCACGGTAGGTCTGGGCAAGAATTCTATTCAAGTATTTGTTTTGTCAAGAAATGAAGCTTGGATCTGTCCAGAATTGTGAACTTGAGCCAAATTTATTGAATACGTGTGCCTGATAAAAAAGCATTAAGCATTTTTTTGAAAAAATGAAGACATTTCAGTGCTTTCGAAACAAAATCACTTGATTTTTTCTTTTGTAGTGGTATTTGTTATTTCCTCTGCAGTTTTATGTAAAAATATTATATAGTATTTACAGATCCAAATCGTCTCAAAACCCAAAAGTTTTGTTTTCTATTAAACAAAAAAAAAAATACAAGCGATGGAAAATACAATTATTTTTTACTTAAAATGAAGAGTCATTTGTTTTACCTTAGCACTCACAACTGCTGCGGTAAAAAAGTCAGTCCTTGCAGTAATATTTTATGTATTTAGTAAGTAAATGATACCTAGCAGAGTTAAATATGATATTTATGGGACAGACCATGAAAGGTTCTGGATACAGTAAGAAATTACAGAGAATTAGTTCAGGATGAGAACACATTTCCTTTTAGGTGGGTTTTTTTGGAAACCCTATAATATTTATCACTATCACATACATAGATATTTATTATATAGAATGCTAACATAGAAAACTAAGCTTGTAGACAAGTTCACAATATCAACTTCTATTTCTTAACCTAGTTCCAAACCCAAAAGATGGCTGTAAGGACGATACCAAGAAGTTCTGTTCACAAGCTCTATTTGCACTACAAGGGTAAATGAAGAATGGATAATAGAAGAAAAAGCTTTTACTGAAATGCTTTCATTTTGTAAAAAAAATCTAACTAGTTTACAAAACTCTACTACATTGCCCTTAGGCATGTGTTTCATTAAAAAATAAAGAAACAAATAAAGTCTCAAGCAAATGGGGTCATTTTTTTCATTCTTCATTTAGCAAAATATAGTTAAATTGATACATTAAATTGATACATAATAAGTTAAATCGAGAAATGAATGTGTGCACAGTCTGTCAAGTAGGACATGCAAAGTGAGTCATAAACTGAAAGCACTGCATTAGGAAAACAACTGGGCATTTTCATTGCTGTATTTAAGCATGGGGAACTCCTCTGGCAATGACATACCAGTAGGTACTAATTTAAGGGAAAATGAGGACTTCGGTAAAAAGAAAAAAAAAACAAATATTAATTCTGTTTGAGTTCTCAGGCCAGCAGAGAGCAAAGACAGTATTAAGGTATCAGTTAAAAGACTGTGCAAAGAAGTCACACTGGATGATGACGTTTATGACTTGGGAAAAAAGTACAGCATGGTTGTTCAAGACTTAAGCACAGAAAAAGTAAAAACTTTTCATAGTCGTACTCCCCTACAAAGGGGTTTAATGCTATAGCACCCAGAAATGGGCCGCAGTCCACGTGGGGTGCCCCTTCCCAGTGCTGCTCTTTGGTGGCTATGGTCCCAGCTCCGTGAGGAGACAGGCAGAGATATGGATGCTATTTTGGGGGAATGGAAGGAGGAGGCAGGAGAAGGAATATTAGAAATTAAGATATCTGGGCTTCAAACTCAGACAAAATATGCCCTCTTTCAAATAGGAGTCTCTTTCAAGCTGCTTGGTTGCCCTAGGAATGCTTCCTTTCTGTCATGAGAAAGGAAATTGATGGTTTTTGTTGGCCATGGGAGACTCCATATACTCCAAAACACTAGGAAATCTGAGCTAGTGAGGAAATGTCAGAATTTGGAAGTATCTGAAAGTTAAAAATGAACACATATAAAAACACCGCAGGACAAATTGCGCATACGATGGAGCAGATATGTAACGAGCAGATGACAACTCTGACTGCTCTTTGTTTTGGTATAAAGAAAATTAAAGCTAAGATAATGCAAATCCTTTCCCCTAAAAAGCTGCAGAACCACAGGCTGTCAGCAGCACTGCAACTTAGACGCCCGCCAAAAAATATGCACAGCCATGCCAGAAACCCACAGTGAAATGGGCATACCACCTCTCCCCTACCCTTCAACCCAAGCAATACAAAGGTGCCACATGAAGTAGGAAGCATGTTACGGCTGGATAAAAGTCTGGACCCACAGCATCAATGCAGGGCACGGAGTTCGACCTCTAGTTCATAACAGGTCTCTGCGCCACACTCCCTGGTGGTTTTAACCTTTCACAAAGTTCACAGAGATTTCCATTGCACTGGAGACAAAAATCCATCTTCATTATTTTTGTGTGTGCATTAAATATATTTTTGTGTGTGTGTGTGCCCATGCACTCACAGATCCATGGAAAGGGATTTAGAAGTCCCCACGTGAAAATTTTGAAGACGCTTTTTGGTTTCTATTTGGACTGATTGTTGTCAGAGGCAAGTGCCTGTGAACGCATTTGAAGCGTCAAGAGTGGTGAATCCGTGCACACAGGCAGGCCTGACCAGCTATGGAGAAGACGTATCCACATGATCAGTGAAGATGTGTAACAAGACCCATTCCTACTTGCTTAACACCTCATGGTGCTATTTCTTTGAAGTCTAATCCACACAGGAATTGTACATCAGAAGAAAGTGGAAAAGTCCTCTCTCCCGAGTATCACCCCATCAATTCTGGCTCTGCAAATGATGGACATATCAGACTTTGAAGTGAGGTGTTTTCTGCTTAGAAAGACTGTGAAGAATGTTTTTGAAGGAGTTTTACATGTACTGGCTTTAATTTACCCTCTGAGCCTTTAATTTCTCCTTCCACACTTGTGATGGCAAGGGTGTACCGCTTTAGAAGTGGAAACTAACAGAAATAATTCTACTTTAATGTTCAAGCTCTCCCAAAGTAGTAACTCTCTGATATAAATGGGATCTGTGGAATGCTATGGCTCAGAGACCATAAGAGGATGTATCTGGGAATACCTGAGTAATCATGCTAGTCACTAGATACATCGTGTTGTCCGATAATTCTGGGACCAGGGGGATAGAGAAAAGGGCAGGAAATAGTTTTCATTAAATTCTCGAGGATCAGAATAATCAACATTATTTTTAGGTGTGGTGTGACCTGTGTTTAATTTTGCTCTTATCCTTTCTCTCCGCTTGAGGAAGAGTTGTAAAATGCTCACCAGCGCATTTGAACTATAAGCATTTTCAGCTGAATGACAGTGTATCAAAACCTCAACCTTTTTTTATTTTGCCTTGTAATCTGTTTCTCTCACTTACTACTCACTTTACTTTTAGCTTGCCTTTTTCTCTTTTCTTAATTATATGTTTCCACCCACATTTTTCATTAGTCATGCCCCCTCCATAGGGTTTTACAGTGCTTTCTTGTTTTCATATTGTTTTGCTTTGCTTCCTTTAGTTTTCCATATTCCCCAGTTAGCGTTCAGGCCCTGGGATTTGATCTGAACAGCTATCACCCTCCAGATGACCAGCTCCACCATGAACTCACTCTGACAGACCTCTAAAGGCCCCATAAGAGCCCTGGCCAAGTCCCACAAGCTGTCAGCTGATACAAAATCCGCTCTTTCCCCTTTCCCCAACAGCTGTCTTCATGGTCTCAGACTTGCCAGACTTTTTCAGATGCAGAGCGGGATGTGTCTTTTTCCAAAGAGACCCTAGTTTAAAACCAGCCAAGCTAATTTATCATCATCTGCCATGAGATCTAATCTTGACTTACTCTCTAGGGTTAATATCACATTCTAACAGGCTAAAGAGCAAAGTTCTTTCTTTGAGCCCAAAGGTGGGGTTACAGTATTCTGTAAGAGTTCCCCCTCTAGGATATAGTAATAGGGGATATAAAACTTCACTCATGCAATTTCATTTTCAGACCTTGCCATCTCTATTGTCCTTTCTTTTGGACGTCTCTAGCTCTGGCAGGTTTTTTGCCTTCTCTGCACTGCTACTAACATGAGCAATCTTACAATCACTTCATGTACAGGTACCTTCTGTCATTTTTACCCCATATTCTCCTGTTTTTAACAATACTATCAAGAGGCACCTGTGGTTCTGCTTAGAGCATTTCTGTCTTTGTTCTCCATTTTTTTACACTCTTAACATTGGGTAGAGCCAGTTCAAACCTGGTTCATGACCTGCCTGACCAGATCTAGAAACCAACACCTGAACAAGTCAGTCTGGACACTTTCAGCAACACCAACATTTGAGATGACTCATGACTTCTCTAACCTGGAGTGGATGTCTAAAATCAGTCTTTGAGGGTTCTCACTAACACAGAAGTTGTTAGATTTTGATGTCTGCACTGCAGGCTCCTGAAGTTGGATGGCGCTCACACAATGGCAAGCAGGAGACAGATGCCCATTTAATTAAAGATAAACATGGAAGAGGTTACTCCTCAGTGTCAGATGGCAGAATAGACGCATCCAAAATCAGCTTCTTATGCTGACCACCACCACTACACCACACACACAAAAATCCCTGACGTCTTTACAGAATGCTCCTACATGTGAAATGTTTCATTGGTCTAACATAAAGGTAGAGTTGCAAGAATGTACTGCAAGAAAAGATGATATTCCAGTGCAACAAGAAAGATTTAACACAAAGAACTGGTAAAATCATGCAAAATGCAGCAGAAAAAACACATAAAACCCACAAAGAATTAAATTCACAGATTGCCCCTCAGACTTACTCTTTTTTCATCTGAGAGGGCATTAGTCTAGTTTTTCCATCTGGCATTGAGACATTACTTTATTATCTGTCCTTTATTCTACAAATAAAGACATGATCTAGAAAAAGCATGACATTAATGATTATTTTTACAGTAATAAGCATATCATCCTCCTCACCTTTCTATACACTCCTTCACAATAGCAAAATTTCCATCTCCTATAGTCCTTCCAACTTTATATCGCTCTGCTATCGATGCTGGAACCTGGAAACCTTCCTCCAACACTTCTGAAAGAATCATTAGTACATTTTTATTGTTAGTGAAGGAAACACAGATGTTGCACATAACATGCATTTTAAGTCTACGGTTTAAGAGCCTGGAAACCATTCAGAGTCAGTATCTCACTTACTGTACAGTGAAACCACGCTGCTGACATTGTATATACTCAACAGGTTTCACACAGATACAATAATGAAAAATAAGACTTCTGGGGCTCAAACATACCACCATTCGAGTGTTACATAGTTTACCATTCCCATTGCAATATGCCCCCAGGACAAAACCAAAATTGTATTTTTTTAATTATGAAAAGGCCTCTGTGATCTGCACAAGCACAGACCAGCCTCCAAAAAGGGTTGGAACTCCTTGACACAGCATGATTAAATATATGTACCAAAGAAGTCCAACACTCAAGCACTTATTTTATTACATCCTGTAAACTGAGACATCCATAAAACTCCTCATGTGCTAAGTGCTAGTTCTTCCCCTCCCCCAATATTAAATATTTAGTTTTTAAACAAATGTTCCCAATAATACTACCTCGCATGCAACCTGGGCACCAGATGTTTAGGTAAAATTGCATTACACAGTGTCTAAACACAAGAAAAGTTTGTAGTTTCATGTGTTTTAGTGCTCATTCATGTACCATTATTTTTAAATGCATTTGAAATAGCGTGTTACAAATACCTAACATGCCTCTAAAAGCTGACTGTAAACTGCAGCTGATACAAACTATGATAGAAATATCGTAACGTAAAAAAAAATGCCTCTCAAAAATGTGACTTGAATTTATCCTCCTTTAAGACAGCGCTTTTAACTATAGCTTTATCTGTCCTTTGTTCCAGTTCAGTATTAAAAGTGAATGTTAGGATACAAGGAGGCTGGGGTTTGCCCGAATTCACAGGCAGCATGAAGCGTACTGTCAGACACTCAGGTCTACGTGCGTGAGACCTGGCAGTATTGGAGCAGACGCTGCCCCTTAGCCAACTTGCTCAAAGCCTTAGTACGGGATGAGACTATAATTTCTGAGCAAAGACCCAGGACTGCAGCATGTTCTTTAGTACCATGCCAGAGGAGACAAAAAAAAAGAGTGAGATAGTCCAGTCAGCACTGCGTCACCTGCAGAATGAATATCTAGAGTCTCCTGCAAGAAAAACACCTCTGAATAAGGATGTCCAGGTCACATCTGATCCGGAGCGAACCTAAATGGCTTGCTAAGACTGACGAGCCTCCTCACGGAGAGTCATCCAGCCCGCACCGCTCCCACCTTCTCCGGCAGGAAGAATGACTCATTTCCTACACAGCTGCTGTTATCACTACATTGACTGCTTTGAAATGTCAGCCTTCAAATGTTACCTTCTGCAGGTCCATCATTTTCATCCATAGAGCTGCAAACTTTGGTGGATGCTAATGAGGTAGAGGAGCCACTGTGTTGGGAGCTCTGGAAATGGAGAGACACAAATGAAAACAGACGATTTTTAAGGAGCACGAGTACCCACAGCACAT